GACCAACAAACAGGAATAGATGGATTTGACCAATCAAATGGAATGGATGGATTTGACCAATCAGATGGAATGGATGGATTTAACCAATCAGCAGGAATAAAATAAGAAGACATTTGACTAACCAAAACAATCAGCTTGAAAAAAAATCAACTGTATATAATACCATCTTTATAAATAAAGTATATCATAATGCTAATTTAAAATGCAACATTTGTTGTTAATAAAGTTATCTAATTTAATTATAATCCCCCTGTTGCAGAAGATTATTAGTTTTCCATGACCCAGGTAATAGTATGAAATCATCTACAATATAGTAATATGACATGCAATTACTACCAGTAATATGTCTATTTGGTTTAATTAATTTATCTTATCATTGGCATTTTCAAAGCATGGCTGAAGTTTATACAGAACAATTATAAAGTTTCCATTATGTACTCATTTTTGATGACAGATATTCATTATTTTACATAACAGTGCCAAAATAATTTAATAAAATTTCTGTTTTACTTTCATCATGACATTTGAACAACGTTTTTTTCAATACATGTAGCTATTTTAATACGACTGTACACACACGCAGCTGCATGTTTTTTTATGGCATTGTACACACAGGGAATTGAATAATTTTCCAGAAGAAATGATTGACATTACGGATATGTGCAATGCTGTTGTCATTATAGATTTGAAAAATGGCAGCATGTTTTATTAATTAAAAGTAGTACTATATATATCATAACTGTATAATTGTATAGTTAATGTAATCCTCTGTTCTTTGGAAATAATTATTTGCAAAGGCTGGCATGTTGTATTTCAACTGTTCTATTTAATGTTATACCTCAAAGCCATTAAGGTTTGTGATTGAAATTTAATAATTGGTACTAACAACAGATAAACTTGACAAAGAAAACTTTTTACTAGTACCTAACTTTTTGGTTCTTTGTATAAAATAGCCCTTTTACATGATTATCTATGGCAAATTTAATTGTAGTACATATGTGACATTGACGCTGCAGTTCGGCGTCTTCTACATTGACGCTGCAGTTCGGCGTCTTCTACATTGACGGTGCAGTTCGGAGTCTTCTACACTGATCTGACGCATATCGCGCAAGGTGTGCCGAGAGTTTGTTCGAACGTTTCAAAGTCAATCGTCGATTGCCACGTATTTTACGGATATATTAAATCGTTTCAGAGACCTGTTTACTAAATAATGATAAATGAAACTTAGAACACTTGTAATAACAAACTGGACCCAAATTGCGCAAATTGCAATAAGTTTACGCTGCTAGAGTCTGGTTCGGATGGATTTTATTGCGCTCAAGGACGTTCTATTTTCGAACTAGTTGAAACCGGAAATAATGCAACTACTTTTGAACTTCAAACACAAATTTGATTATCGTTATTATATGTTCGTTTCTATTGTTTCAAAGATTGAATTATGTATGACAATAATATTTCACTCTATAAACAATATTTCACTAAAATATGTGATTCAAAGGCAACCCAAATTGTAAAAAGCAATATCAAGTTCCGCGTATAAACACTGTTGTAAAGAGGCGGCGGAGCGTAATTTTAGCCAAAATCGGCTAGTAAGGCGTCATATGACACAGGTCTGCGCTGGAACAGCGCTTCCTGTGACAACACAACGACATATGTGACCTTTATAAGTACTAAGTCACCAATCAACTATGGCTACTCATAAGCTATAATATTTTAGCTGAAGAGAGATGACAGATCTAAACATTAATAAAACACTACTTACAAAGTTCAACAGCTGTTGAACTGTAAATGAGTAAAATGCAGTTACTCTACTTGAGCAGGGTTGAAAAAGTATCAAGAATACATGTCTGCTGAACCAATTATAAACCCCTATTCTAGAAACACTACACTTGCTAATAGTTTATTTGCAGTGAGCATGCATTGTTACAGTGCAGCTAATACTGTAAAACCATTTATTTTAACTGACATTTAATTTCACTATTTTGATTTACTGTGTTTGAATTTCAGTGAATAATAATGCATTTACAGAACTAGAACAAGTAATATGAGACCCCATCAAAGTAATTCAGACAAGCATGTACCTTAACCTTTCACACCTTACATGCATACAATGAATGTAATCTTGTGTTGTGAGACTATAAAGTTTGGCAAAAAAAAACAAAAACAGATTGTAAATGCAGATTTATTGTTAACATGTTTTATTTGGAGCTGTTCTTGTTGTCTCAGTTACATTTAGTTTTGCACTCATCGCATAAGGTTGAATGGATTATATTTCACACAGAATTCCTGCCATGATGTCATCACATCACATAAGGGACCAACCATTTCAAATATTGGGAGTGGCTGAAAGATTTGCTACAAAACAAAAATTTGCAAACTAGAGAATGAGAAAAAAATGATATGCAAGGTTTTGAAGGGGAAAAACTCTTTGCACATGCAATCAACAAAAATAAAAATGCACAGATATGACACTGTGAAAAAAATTTTACTAATCACCCCATGATTTCAAATGAGAGATCCCTTAGTATGAATGAAAATATGAAACTGGTCACTGGTAGCTTAATGTGGTTGTCGCATCAGACTCATGACCGGTAGACCCAAGTTCAAATCCTACCTTTGGCTGAACATCAAAAGGGTCGACCCCTACCCTGGGTGAGTGTGCCACAGACTCAATGGGAAGGTCTATTCCACTGGCCGGGATTCATTCACTAACTAATGCGACTTTGGGGGAACCTTGGTTAAGGCATGGAGCTAAAGTCAGTGTGCTTGTGTTCGACCGAGCCTGGTTGATGCCAGGATAGCGCATTAAAATTGTCACTTGATAGAGAAATTCAATTTTGCACAAAAAGCCAAATTTGTACCATGTTCGTAAAATGTTACTTATGATTGATTCACCATGACTGTGCTTTATTAGAAGTGAATCCATAGAAGCACACATGCAAGGCAAAAATGTTATTATAGAATAAAACCTGAGCACAGTCATGACATTTTATCTCAGGTTGGAGTATGATTATGACGTTTTATATCAGATCAAACTTTATACCGAGAAGAGCCAACGTACTATGAGTTGCTCTATCTGACGTAAATCTGCAATCCAAAACAATCTATAAATAGATATTTTGAGTGAGTCTGATACTTTTTCGATATGGAGTTTGTTTTCATTGTTTTATGAAATTTACATTTTGAAAATAAGACAGGTGGATGCTACATTCAAGGTTGCATACTCAAAGATCAACAGATGAATATTTATGATCTACCTCTGAGCATGATATACTCCAAAAGCAATGGTTACGTTACCATGTTTTAATATTTAAAGACTGAGAAACTTGGAAAAGGAACAAAAAACACCTCTTTTCTAGGCTTCTCTATAACAGTCTGCATCAAACAAATCAATATATTGTGTTATATTGTTCATACAACAGTTGTTTAGGGTATAATTTCTTGATTTTAGTAACAGAAAATGGTAGTTATTTTACATTTAACGAAACAAAAATTTTAGCCCCATTTTTAATGTTGGGTACTCAAGTTTTAGTGTCCTGCATCTGTATTTGTGCCAGGTTTAAGCACATTGTGACCACATCAAAATTCGCATTTGTGCTTGGCCACAGGGAAATTGTTATTATTTTAACTTACAAGGGCATTTCTAAAGAAATAATTTGGCTGATAATGTATTATTCTCAAATTTAAGAATTAGCAGTTACATGTATTGGTAATTTCTGGATAGCAACGTGGGCGTGGTCAGTGGGCGTGGTCAAGAACTTCATAGGTGTCATTCAAAGTTTGCATAAAGCAAATGTCAAATTGACCAATAACCCTACAATTAATTTGTCAATATAATTACAATCATTAAAACCCCAAGGCTAAAGTTGATTTGTAAAACTTAATCACATGGAATAATAATAACTATCTAGCAGGACCGTAATAGGTAACTAACTGCGAATGACGTTGGGAACTCCGTTGAAGTCATAAATTCTTTGGTTCTTACGTACATATTGTCATGATACATGTGAGGACTGGACCCCGGCCTGGATCACACGCTGACCAACGTGCGTCATTGGTAATACGTCAATACGATGCTAACTATTTAACTCAGTTAATAGGGGCAGGAGCTGGGGTGGGGTTGGGGGGTTTGGGGTGGTTCGTCGTTACAATGAAACGAACAGACCGGAAGACTAAGGGCTTACCTCTCCGCCATGACCGTCAAATATGCCGTACATAGAAAGCCCTGTGTGTTCCGCATCATGGACGATATCATATCGGTCCTCCATACGAGGCCTTCGCCCCTGAATAGCATACAGTGCAACATTGTTTTGTCGTATATCCCAGTGTGACGGTGTTTTAGGTGTACTGGTGTCCGTGGCATCGATGGTATCGTATTCCTCTCGGCGATCGCCTCGTAAGTGCAACTGCTCCTGGGCACCGCGAATAACAGAACGTAGTCTATCAGTGTGAAAAATGTAGCTATAAATTAAAACGAATAAAATGACAAGCAGCCATGTTTCATACTTAAGACACAACTGACGAATGTACCGCGTAAGTAAAGCCACAAAAGTCATCTTGTAATTGTTTCAAAATAAGCAGTGAATATTTCACACAGCTATCCGACCTCGACAACCTCTAGCATTGGACAGCCATCTTGGGTAATACCACTATATACAGGGGGGAAGGTGACGAGTACTTGGAGATGACTCACATATAATCTATATATATTATTTATTATTAAATTAAATTATACAATAAACAAGTAACCTGTAGGATACTGTGTGGGTAATATTTTTTATATTGATTTTTGTTGCATTTGCAGCAAATAGTTACCAAACAATGAGAAATCTATAGGATTGAATATACCCCACAGCTGGCTTCACATGCATTGTTCATAGTTCATATGGTGCTTACACCAGAATTTAATTACAGCACCTAGGCGGTATGTGGTTACAGCTTAATGTTCGAGTAATCGCAAGAAATTGACATGACAATAGAAATTCATTAAAGACTGCCACTCCCATGCAATTAACAGCGAGTGAAATTCCTGGGATTGAAACATATATTTTGAAGTCACTGATGTAGGCAACGAATAACTGCAAGTTGACATAAAGACGAGGTAGTTTAT